GCAAGCATTAAAGAAACTGTCAATGCGCTTTCCTCCTCAACAGATCTTGAAAGGCAGGAAAAACCCGGTCATTCTCCTGATCACAGACGGCGAGGAGAATGAGAACCCGCGGATTGACCACATCATTGACCACGTCATCGCCTCGGGAGTGAGGGTCGTCACCGTCGCCTTCGGGTAAACAGGAGGTGTTCTTCTCTCTCTCGGCTCTCTCTCTGTCTTCTGTCTCTCTGCTCTCTCTCTCTGTCTGTCTCTGTCTCTGTCTCTCTCTCCTCTCTCTCTCTCTCTCTCTCTCTCTCTCTCTCTCTCTCTCTCTCTCTCTCTTCTCTCTCTCTCTCTCTCTCTCTCTCTCTCTCTCCTCTCTCTTTCTATGTCTCCTCTCCGTTTCTTTCTCCCTCTCTCCCCTTCCCCTCCCTTCCCTCCCTCCCCTCTCTCCTTTCTACCTCACTCCCTCTTTCCATTTCTCTCTCGCTCTCATCTCTCTCTCTCTCTCTCTCTCTCTCTGAGATTTAACATTTTCCGATATAAATGATCTTAAATAGTGTAAAACAAAAGCAGTCGAGATGGGCGAGCCTCTCCCTAACTGCGAATCGCTTCTCCCTCCGCCCTGGCAGCGAGGAGGCGGACCCCAAGCTGGAACGCGTCGCACAGGTCACGGGAGGCAAGACGTTCACGGTCAACGACATCGACGAAGGACACATGCTCGAGGACGCCTTCCACGGGGCGCTCACCTACCAGCCCCCGCCCTCGCGCCAGAATGCTACGGTGACGGTGAGTGGGTTTTTGTGAGAAAGATATAGGTAGAGAGAGAGAGAGAGAGAGAGAGAGAGAGAGAGAGAGAGAGAGAGGAGAGGAGAGAGAGAGAGAGAGAGAGAGAGAGGAGAGGGAGAGAGAGAGAGGAGAGAGAGAGAGAGAGAGAGAGAGAGAGAGAGAGAGAGAGAGAGAGAGGAGAGAGAAAGAGAGAGAGATGAGTGTATGGATGGTTTGTTTCTAGAAGGGTGAGTGTGAGATCCTTGAGGCTATGGGAGTTTGATTACTTTCTGGCATATGAACGCTGGGGTTTTGGTATTTTTTGTAGGAACTTTCTGGATTATACCTAGAGTATTAGGAATGCATTAAAACGCAAATGTATAAATAGAAAGAAACAGTATTATATGGAATGCACAAAACGCATATGAATCATCGTACACATTCCAATGGGACGACACTTTCCAGATCGACGAGAAGGTCTACAGAGGGTCGGGAGACACAGCCAGCGAGACCTTCCTGGTGGACTTCACCGTCGGCAGGAACTTGGTCTTCCGGCTCGACACGGACGACAGGGCGCACGTGACGTCATCTCCGCACCTGATCCGTCCCACCGGAGGCATCATCGGGGGCGCGGAGTTCGACCCTTCTTCCTTCGTGTGGACGATCAATGTGCCGATGGCTGAGGTACGCGCGGGGGGGGGGGGGGGGGGGCGTGGATTCCCGTGTTTGGGTTGTGCTGTTGCTTGTGGCTGTGTGTCTGCGCTGGAAAAGTTTGGAAATATTACGAAATCAGGTTTAGATCTGCGTCCAAAATGGATGTGATGGAATACCATGACGATGTATTAACTTTCAATATTACTTTTAAAAAGTTACTTACTTAATAAAGTTGTAGATTACACAGTATTAAGGCATTATTACATTTACATTTACATTATCCTACATATCAAACCACTAATGCCATTAATGTGTTTCTTTTCCAGCAAGGGGAGTGGAAATGGCAGGTCGGAGTCTCAGGCAACCCCGAGAAGTTCGTGAGAGTAAAAATCACTGCACAAACCCGGGACCCCGACATTCACCCCATCACCACCAAAGCCTGGGTTAGTCTCGATAAATGTCGCCACAAACTTCATGAAACTGTGATAGATATGCCGGTGCTTTGCCTTTAAAATCTACATAGCCAAGTGGGATACCTATCGTTATAATAGGATCGTTAGAATGCTGTTCCTTGTAAGGGGTTGTAAGCATACCATTCTGTTCTTTGACAGATGAGCAGCGGTGCACATGATGTTAATGCTACCACCGACAGGGTTATCATATACGCAGAGGTGAAGCAAGGGAATAACCCAGTAGTCAATGCGCGGGTGATGTAAGTTATATAATTTGCAACGTTGGTTTTCAGTCTTCTTCCATAATCTATTGGATGTTTTTAGTATCGAGTGTTTGATAAACACCAAATTATTTTGTTTTGTAATGGAAAGAACAAGGTTTATTTTCCTTGTATCTAGTAAGCTACATATCCTACATTTCTTTCTGAGTATAACCACCTATCATAAACAAATACAACTGTCAGAACATCTTTGCCTTCCTCAGCGCCTTGGTGACGCCGCCCAACGAGTCCGACAGGGGCGAGGTCTACGAGCTCTTGGACAACGGGCAGGGGGCAGACATCCAGGCAGGGGACGGAATCTACTCTCGTTACATGACGCGATACACCACGACTGGCAGGTACAGCGTCAAGGCTCAGGTGCGTCCGATGTCAGGTGTCATTCTTCGCCGGGTCTGTTGTTCTTCTGCCATGCTGTCTAGTCATTAGAGCCGCCCCGATTCGATGCTTTTAGCTATTCATTTATTATTTGCTTTCTTTTTTCACCCGTGTCTACTTCTTGTCCCCTTCTAGACTGACGCTCTTTTATACGAACTAAAAAAAAAAAAAAAAAAAAAAGAAGAGAGAGAGAGAGAGAAAAATCTAATCATATAAAACAGAGTCAGATATCAGTGGCTAAAACAACGGATGTCCCCGGCTTCCTCTCCCGCAGGTAACCGACGGAGGCACGGCGGTCATCAACAGGGGCTTCCTCACGGCTCCGGCTCAGCGCACGCGTCGTGATCTCAGGGAGACGATTGAAGGTTTGGCATGTTTGTTTCTTCTTAAGAGTTGTTCTTCCTTTTCGAAAGGGAAATGCGAAATGTGAATCACATTTAAAATTTAAAAAAAAGTAAGCGGATGGTTTTGTATGATCACATAAAGAAGCGTTGTTTTTCAATAGATATCTAACAGCTAAAAACGTACTTAATCAACCATTGGACTTTTTTTTAAAGGAGGGTAATATAGACATTGTTTTTCAAGGCTTTTGTTTTTTTTTTCAGAGAGACCACCATACTGCTGCGGAAACATAATCCCTCTTGACCAGGAAAATGCTTTCAATACTGGGACATTCAACAGAATCTCTGTTGCTGGATCTGTCAAGGTAGCTATTGGCTTCTGCACATGCACACGTATACGGACTCACACACACGCACAAACACATACACACACGCATAGAAGGAGAGAGAGAGAGAGAGAGAGAGAGAGAGAGAGACAGAGAGATAGATAGAGAAAGAGAGATAGAGAGAGAGAGAGAGGAGAGAGAGAGAGAGAAGAGAGAGAGAGAGAGAGAGAGAGAGAGAGAGAGAGAGAGAGAGAGACAGACAGGGACAGACAGACAGACAGAAGACAGACAGAGAGAGAGAGAGAGATATAGGATAGATTATAGGGAGAGTAGAAAATAGATAGATAGATAGATAGATAGATATATAGGATATTAGAGATAGATAGGATAGAGAGAGACAGTAAAGATAGATAAAAGAGAGAGAGAGAGAGAGAGAGTAAGGTAACAAAACGAAACGATCGCAGCAGAACGGTTATTCCAAAGATGTTTTTCTTCGTCCCGCGCAGGTCATAGAGATCCCCGAGGGCGACACGCAGCCGCCTTCTCCCGTCCGCGACTTCAAGGTGTCCCTCGGCTGCTGCAGCGACCTTGGCGACGCCTCCCACAACCTGACTCTTACCTGGACGGCGCCCGGAGATGATTTGGATGACGGCACAGGTGGGAGACGGACGGAAAGAGAGAGAGGGAGGGAGGAGGGAGGGGAGGATAGATGAAGGTAGGCAGGAGGGAAGAAGGGAGGAATAGAGGGAAGAAAGGAAGGGAAGGAGATAGAAAAAGAGACAGAAAGAGAGAGAGGGGGAGAGGGATAGATGAAGGGTAGGGCAGGAGGGAAGAAGGGAGGAATGGAGAGAGAGGGGGATGGTAAGAAAGAGAATGGTAGAAAGAGAGAGAGGTAAAAAGGGAGGGTGGGGATAATGGAAGGAGAAGGAGGGAAGAAAGGGAGGGAAGGAGATGAAAAGAGGAAGAAAGAGAGAGGGGGAGGGTAAGAAAAAGAATGGTAGAACGAGAGAGAGGTAAAAAGGGATGGAAAAGAAAGAGAGGGTGGGAGGAAAGGAGAGAAACGGAGGAGGGAAGAAAGGAGAGGAGGGAGATAGAAACAGACACATAGATAGATTGATAAAGAGGGAGAGAAGGGGATGGCGAGGGAGTATGATATATATACCATGTGGATGTTACGCCATAATATATACAATATGGATATCTGACCATGTGGCCACCCCAATAGTGATGTCCTGAGGATGCCCCCCCCCCCTCTCACCCTACTACTGCTACCAGTTAATATCCTCTCTTGATTAGAGGAATTCTATAAAAAATAGCAAGTGAGGGAAAGGAGAGATAGATAGAACGAAAGAGAGAGGGGGAGGGAGGAAGGGAGAAATATAAATGGAGAGAGGGTGAGGGAGGAAGCGAGAAAGAGAGAGAGTGAGACGGTGAAGTAGGATTTAAGTAGGAGTTACGAACAGTGCTGTAGCCTTGTGGATGAGGTTACTACTATCTCTACCTCCCCTCTCATCCCACCGCTGCCACCAGCTTATAAGATCTTTTCTTGACATGAACAGAGGAATTCTATAAAGACTATGTGATCAGTGAAACTCAGCCTAGCTATTGTTTCCTTAATTGTGGAAAAGACCTAGATTCACTGGAACCAATGGCATCCATGGCAAGCAGTAAAATATGAGATAGAATGTTATCATAAAGTTGGACAAGATGAGAATGACCAGTCTAGGCTAAATTTATGATCGAAGGGGATTTGGTATTAAGACATCCCTTTCCCTTGGTATAACATTCCCTATGGACAATGGACCAACATATATGCTGCATGTGCTCGATAGTACATGCCAGGTAGATAGAGACAGATATATATAGAGAGAGACAGAGAAGTGGGGGGGGGGGAGGAAGAGAGAAGGAGAGAGGGAGGAAAAGAGATGGAGGGAAGGATTGAAGTACAAAATGAGACTGGGAGAGAGAGGATGGGAGAAAAGAGATATAAACAGAGAGAGAGGAGGGAGGGAGTTGGATCTGTACCGTCATATATGCTATGTGAATATTGAACCATGTAACCAATTATAGATAATTCTGGAACGTGCTGGTGCCGCTGGTTCTGGGGAACCTCCATAAAGGAAAAACGGTTGACCTGAATTTTGCCGGTCACCTCCTAGTCTTTATAAAATTCTTCTAATCGTATTATGAACATATCTTATAAGGAGAGAGAGAGAGAGTAGTATAGGGGAGCGATCATAAACATCTTGCCTTTCATTTTATGAGGCATATCATAATTACTTCCGTGATGAACATTTATACAAGGAGTATGTCAGTAAGGCAAAAGGTGAATGTGACTGATGATGCTGTGTGTAGAAAAAAACAAAAAGAAGTTAAAACGCTTTCCTCAAAATAAGTAATCACATTTCATGTTTCCCTTGCTTTCAGTCTCAAGTTATGTGGTCCGTGTGAGTACCAGCGCATCTGATTTACAAGAGGATGCTTTTAATGACGCTCCTAATGACACCCTCGTGAACATTAGTTCTGCCATGGACGGTATACTTGTCAGAGCTGGCGAAAAGGTGACCGTCAATGTGTATCTAGATCTAGACCTTCACCAGTCCAATTATTTTGCGCTGCGAGCCATCGACGACGCTGGATTAACGAGGTTTGTGTCAGTCTGAGAACTGGTCTAGGTGTCAGTCTGCCTTAGGTAACGTGAGCATATGTTTTGGACATGAGTTAAGCAATCATGAAATGCAATGTGGAAAATGTTTTGATTTAACAGGATGTGAAAGATAAAATTAATTTAGATAATATTTAATGTATCATGATACTGATTATCAAACCTCCAGCTTCTATATTTCTAATGCCATTGAATGATCTTCTGCAGTATGGTCTCCAACATCGACATCCTGGGGTCAGAGCTTTTGGTGGCGGCGCCGGCCGTGTTGGTCATCCCGGTGTGGGCCATCGTGCTGATCGCCGCCATCCTGCTGCTGCTGGCCGTCGCCTCGTGCGTCGTGCTTTCGTCGCGGAACACCGGCAAATATGACTGCGTCGAGAGCTGAGATATGCCAAAGAGAGGATGTGGGCGCGCGTTCTATGTCATGTGATTTTGCATTGCATGGTTTTAGCCAGTGAATCTTCTCGGCAAATATGATAGCTTAAAGTTATCTTAAAATGTATAGACTATAATTTGACATGTGCTTTTAACCCTGTGGTAATTCAGGAGGCCTTCATGGATTCATGCTTCATTTTCAAGCATTTGTGTTGGCACTGTATAATACATGCATAAAGATATGGCTATTCCATACAGATTTTGTAGTAGTTATACTATACTGTATATAACAATTATAGTTAGAAAGTAACATGACTCTAATATAACTTAATTCTACTTTATTGAAGCTACAGAACCATTACGGTTCTCTGTATATTAAACAGTTGCTTTTGGAAAAGTTCTTTCAACCTGTCTGATTTACTTACTTGCATTTCACAGAGTGCTGCGTTCTTACAAATCCGATGTGCTTATATGTGTACCTGATGGAAATGACATGGGGGTTGAGCTCTAACGGGAAGCAAGATAGTCAGTAGAAACAGAAATACGTTCACCGCAGCAGCAAAAGTCACTAGCTTGTTTACATTGCCAAGAAAGCTTGGGGCTAGAAATAGACTTCATTAATAATGCAACAAAAACAACAAAAAGACCTTATGTGTATACGGATGTTTGAATATCAGTTACCAAAAACAAGCAACCAAAAATCAGAGAAGAGAAAGGTCATAATAATTTTTTTTTAAACATCAACAACAGTACTCTTAATTCAGACAGATCCTATAATAATTATGGTGCTTCCTTTCTGCTTTTTACGCTGATTACAAACCGGTATTGGGTGACGCAAATGTACATAGTGTCAAAAGTACATTACTGAACGTTCTCCTTAGACAACGTCCACTTTTCGTATGTTGTTCCCTATGATCGTTCTTTTCTGCTTATTTTTCCATCTCTACATATCATTCATTCACTCATCTGATCTCCTGGCCTATAAACTCTCCTTGTTTCATATAAACCCTTTCCTCATTTCCTTTTTTTTCATTTCATTTTCTCCTCTTGTCACGGAATTGGCCATTTAATTCCACAAACGTCATCCAGAATATTAGGAAACAGAATTATATCGTTCTTGTCTCTGTCGTTATCGGGTCGTGTATCCTACATATTGTATGGAAGATATTATGTTCTAATAAAACTGACATGAGAAACTGGCATTTTCTTTTTCTAATATCTTAACCTTTTTTATGAAGAATTTATGAATATGTGAGTGAAGGTGTCAAAGGCATTCGGCCGGTT